ATGTCCATGTATATGTATATGTATGTGTATACGTATCGGTATATGTATATAGGTATTTGCATATGTATATGTATATGTATATGTATATGTATATGTATATGTATATGTATATGTATATGTTTATGTATGTGTATATGTATTTGTATATGTATTTGTATATGTATATGTATATGTATATGTATGCGAATACGTATATACACATACATATGTATATATATGTGTATGTATTTGCATATGTTTATATATATGTATATGTATATGCATATGTATATGTATATGTATATGTATATGAATGTATATATATGTATATGTATAAGTATATGTATAAGTATATGTATATGTATATGTATTCGCATATATATATATATACATTTATACACATATGCATATGTATATGACTGTGTATATGTATACGTATATGTAAATGTATGTATATATATATGTACATGTATGGGTATATGTATATGTTTGTGAATATGTACACGTAAATGTATATGTATAGACGTAAGTGTTTGTATTTGCATTTGCTTTTGTATATGCTTATATATGTGTATGTGTATGTGTAGGTGTATGTGTAGGTGTAGGTGTATGTGTATGTGTATGTGCATGTGTATGTGTATGTGCATATGTATATGAACATGTGTATGTATATGTGTTTGTAAATGCATATGTATATTGTATGTAGTTGTATGTATGCATGTATGTGTGTATATTTGCATGTATGTATGCACGCGCGAACTGTCAGCTCGTCCTGAACATAATTTCGGTTCTCGTGCGCACGTTTGCTCAGGGCGGAACGCGTTTACCCCCCGATCGCCTGGTCGTCGCGGACATGGGCCCGCTGGCCCGCGCTTTCCGCGGACGTGCAGCTGCGTTTGCCTGGGGGCCGAGTTCGCCGATGCGTCGGTGATGCGTCGCCGATTTCATGTCGATTTGGGGATACGTAAGGGTCGAGTGCGCGAGGACTGGGGTTTTCGTGTGTGTGTTTTTTGATGAGCCCGCCCTGGATTTTGACGGTCCAGTTTTCGTGGGTTGTTTACAGCGGGGTTCGCGTCACATTTCAAAGTGGGTCTCGTCATTTTCTTGGCGGCTCCGTCAGGCCAGCCCGACTTACCCCCAACCTGAGTTGTACGTCTGTCCGGTCGAAGTTTGCCCCCTTGAGCCGGTCCCCCCCCAACGAATTCCCCAGGGAAGGGGCGTGTCACGCGCTGCCGCCGCCAGCTGGAGGGCGAAGCCTGTGCCAGGGGGCGTCATGTGACCGACCGCCTCGCCCATTTTGGCTTCGGAAGATGAGAGGGGGGCGATGCATTTGCCCCCCGTCGTCGCCACGGTTTGCTGCGCTGCGCAGATCAACTCAGGACGCACCCGTAGGGAAAGGTCCGGAGAGCAGAGGTACATCGCCACCTTCTTGCTTCCCCATGGCCAGGCCCATCCTGGGCACACGATGGGGTATACGCCCTTCTGGCCTGGCCACGGTGGCGCATGTGCGGACCTTGGCCCAGGATGAACTTTTCTCCAGGGCCGGTGAGTTGGTCAATTGGCGCCCCCGAGTCTGGGCACCCTGGGCGATTCGAGCCCACAAACCTGGGGCTGAGCCCACCCAAGCAGCGGGAGCGGCCCCCAGCGGGCGTGAGCGCCAACGCTCACCCAGGGTTGGGCGCGGCCAGAAAAGGGCGCGCGCGCTGCCTCTTTCGGCCGGAGGGCGGGGCTTCGCGAGCAACCGGGATTTACAGGCAGCGCGCTGAAATATCGACAACTGACGGCTCAGGAGAGTCCCTTACCGAATACCCATTCGTGGCCGAGGCTATAGCCGAGGCCAGAAACTCCTCTTTCCTTACTCATCGTTTCCTATGGTATCACGATGAGTATAGTCTTTCCATATGGGGTCGGAGCAGAGGGGGTCGCAGAGTCGCGCCGCACCGCCGATGCATCGGCGATGCGGCCCGATGAGGAACCCGATGTTCTCCACGCCCACGTCGCCGAGGCATCGCCGACGTGCATCGGCGATGCGGCCCGATCTTTCGACCCCATATTGGATGGCCACGAATCCAGCCCCCCCCCCGGCGCAGGGGGTAGGTCGGGTTGGGCGGGTCGGGGTGCTGAAGAAAAAGCTTTTTTCATGTGGGAGGGGCTCATTGTTCCTCAGTTGTTTCACAGCATGCCTTCGGTTTTCCTGAGGCTTTCCATGGGAAGTCGAAGTAACTATGGGGAGAAAGGGGCCTCGTTCCTTGTTAAGGGTGCCTTGCAGTGACAAAAGGGCGCCTTCGACAAAAAACCCAAACCGTGAGACCCCAGGACGCCCGGTGATCTTTTTGGTGTGGGGGAGCGCCGCGCTCCCCGTCGCAAAGCCCTCGAAACCCAAGAAAACCTTCGACAACCCAAGCAGGGTGTTTCTCCTGGCGTGGCTCCCCACTGCAGGCCGGCGCCCCGGCCCGACTGCAGCACCTTGGCATCGCTCGGACGTGTGCATTTTTCCTTCGGCGAGGACCATCGAGGAGCATCCTTGATCTTTTGGCGAAAAAGCCACGCACGAAACCAAAAAACACAGGGAATGGACGTCCGAGCGATGGCCAGGCACCCCATCGCGCGAGGCCCCGACGCGCGGCACCCGTCACCCGGCGCGGGGGGGGGGGGGGGGCAAACTCGCGCGGGGCGCCCGGGCCCCGGCGGGCGGGGGCGGGGCGGGCGCCCGCGGTGGCCCCGGGCGATGCGCCTGCTCCGGGTCCGCCCGGGTTGCGTGGTCCGCCGATGGGATGCAGCTCCGGGTCAAGCTCTGATGTTCAGGATGGGGAGGAGGGGGAGGAGGAGTGGGAGGAGGAGGAGGAGGAGGAGGAGGAGGAGGGGGAGGAGGAGGAGGAGGAGGAGGAGGAGGAGGAGGAGGAGGAGGAGGAAGAGGAGGAGGAGGAGGAGGAGGAGAAGGAGGAGGAGGAGGAGGAGGAGGAGGAGGAGGCGGCCACGCACATCTCAAGGCAAGACATGGGGTCCAGCTCCGGGTTGCGTGGTCCGTCGATGGAGGTCCAGCTCTGATGTTGCCCGGGTTCGAAGTCCAGCTTACAGTCAGAAACCCTAATAATGACAGGCGACTTTGCTCAGGGTAACTACCCCTGCGTCTTCGCTCTTCCTTGCTCTTGCGTCCTTGAGGTTTTCGTCGTCCGCCGCCCCAAGAAGCCCAACTTCGGCTTCCAAGGGTCCTGCGTCCTTCCCGCGCGTCCTTATTAGGGTTTTTGATAGTAATCCGGCTTAATCCTTCCGCTTAGTCCCGCGTAGTCCCGCTTGATCGGGCTTCATCCCGCTTCATCCGGGGCCCACTGCGGCGTAACCGCCCCGCCGTGGGGCTGAATCTTTTTTGATCCTTCCGACGAAGGCCTCCCAGTAGTTGCCTCCATGGGAGCCTCAGAGGGCCCCCAATTTCCTGACGGTTTTGGGGATCTCGTCGGGATTTTGCCGCATGTGGTCGATGTCTGGAAGAAATGATCTGGACGAAATCTGGGCGACATCATGACGACAGGGATGAAGAGGGATGGTGGAAATCTTGACGAAATCCGGTCGAAATCACGTTTCTGATAGATAGGGCTGGGGAGGTCCACAGAGGCTCCCATGAAGGCTCACCAGAGTCAGAAACGCCGCCCCCCCCCGCAATCATCCGCCAGGCCATGGGTATGCCCTCGAAGCGCTTTCCGGGGTGTGCTCCCGCGCCATTATCGGCGTCACCCCAACATACTAATACTATGTGTTCGTCGCCCCCCCAGGGGCGACGCGCGCACCGAGAAATCTTATAGTATATGCGTCGCGGCAGGCGCTTTCTGGCCACACCGCTCGGGAAACGATATACTACAAGATGGGTATACTATATGTTCGGGTCGGACGCGCGCCTCCAAGGAGGATCTACAGTATTTGTACGTCCCACACTATAGGGACTTGCGAGCCGATTCCCCAGGTCCGTTCCAAGACGGTTATCCAGTGACGGTGCGGCGGCTGCGCACCAGAAAGTGTCGGGAAGGAGGCAGGGGCGCGCCGCTTTTCGCGCGGGATGGGGCAGGAGAGTGGCCGGAACACGCGACCCTCCTGCACGGATCGGGGTTCTCGACCTACTGAGCACCCATCATCTCGAAGGGCTTGACGACTTTTCTCCAATCGACTTGCGGGGATCAAGCCAGGAACCGATGAATTTCCGGAGACGTCCAGGGAAATCCAGAGCAGAGCGTCCAGAGCAGAGCATGGACGCTCCAGCGCGAGCCGAGGGGCAGCAGAAGTCGTCAAGCCCTTCCCGACACCAGGGCGGCGCTGATCCGTTCTTCCCGCGGGCGACGCACACACACACACACACACATCCGACATCACCGTGCCCGCGGTCCTGCGGGCCAGGCCTCCAGGCCGCGACGCCGCGGCTGCGGAGCGCTCTGTCGCGGATGCTCCGCGCGGAGCGTGCATCCGTCAGAGCGTGAATTACCTACCCCGCTTTCGCTTCCAGGCAAAACCAAGGCATACCACGCGGCTCCTCGTCAAGCGGCATGGCCAGTACAGGCCGTAGTTTGGCACCGCTTGGTATCTCTTGGAAGCGAGGGTGGTCAAAAGCGGGGTAGGTTTGTTTGCCCCGTAATCCGTGCGACCGCACCTCCGCTGGACCGCGCCCTGGGAAGCCAGACCGCGAGGGCGCGGACGTGTGCATCCGCTCGCCGCTCGTGGCCTGCAGGTCCCCGGCAGAGGCCCGCCCCCCCCCCCCCCCCTCTGCGGCCACCCCCCCCCCTGACGGGCCTGCTTTCCTCCCACCACCACCACCAGAAGTTGGGGGCGGTAAGGAGGAGGAGGAGGAGGAGGAGGAGGAGGAGGAGGAGGAGGAGGAGGAGGAGGAGGAGGAGGAGGAGGAGGAGGGGAGGAGGGAAAAGCGGAGGAGGAGGAGGAGGACCCCCGTCTCCCTCCTGCTTCTGGTGGTGGCGGTGGCGAGCAGGCCCACCGGCCCCCGCCGCGGCCGCGCGCCCGTCGCGCCCGCGGATGCCACCATGGAGCCCGGCGCTGGCAGAGCCCGCAGGGCCACCCCTCCGCGCCGCGTGGGGTGTGGCGGAGAGGGCTGCCGGGGCAACGCGAGGGGGGTGGGGGCTCCAGGGGGGTGGGGGTCGTGTCGATGCCTCCGATCCGATTCGATTCGGCTTCGGTGGCTTCCGCTTCCGTTTCGATGCGACTTCGGACTCCGATCTGGATTCCGATGTCTCCATGCGGCCTCACTACCTCTGCCGATGTCCGCCGCTTCCACTTCTCCCGACATTGGCTGCCGATTGCCGCCGATCGGATTCATCTCGAGCGCCGAGTCGACTTATCGATTCGATTCTGGGCTCTCCTGAAGGGGGGGGGACGGATGATGGGTCTGTTTTCCGCCACCACCACCATAAGATGGAGGGGGATGGGGTCCTCCGCCTCCTCCTCTTCCTCCTCCTTCTTCTCCTCCTCCTCCTCCTTCTCCTCCTCCTCCTCCTCCTCCTCTTCCCCTCCTCCTCCTCCCCCTCCTCCACCCCTCCTCCTCCTCCTCCTCCTCCTCCTCCGCCTCCCTCCTCACGCCCCTCCCCTCCTCCCCTTTCTCCTCCTTCTCCTCCTCCTTCCTCCTCCCTGCCCCTCCTCCCCTCCTCATACTCCTTCTCCTCCTCCTCCTCCTCCTCCTCCTCCTCCTCCTCCTCCTCCGCCCTCCTCCTCTCCCCCTCCTCCCCCTCCTCCTCCTCCTCCTCCTCTCTCCTTCCTCCTCCTCCTGCCCCGTCCTCCCTCCTCCCCTCCTCTCCTCCTCCTCCCTCCTCCTCTCCTCCCCCTCCTCCTCCTTCTCCTCTTCCTCCTCCTCCTCCTCCTCCTCCTCCCCATCTTCCTCCTCCTCCTCCACAATTACACAATATGAAAATACTCTCCCACTTTCCCTGATGGCGTCCGGAAGATATTCGGCACCCCCCCGCGTACTGTTTTTTTACACACAGGATTCCCCGGAGTTGGGTTTTCGCTTGTGTTTTTTTCAAAAATGCTGCTCTCGCTGAGGCGCCGGCCTCATTTCTGCTCCCGAATCGTTCCGACTCGTGCTCCCGCTGCAGCGTGGGCCTCATTTTCGGATCGGTGTTTGGCCTCCGTCGTTCAGGATGGCGTTCTCGCCCCAGCGCGGGACTCTTTCTCGCGCGCCCATCCGCCCGCCACCACCGCGCCGCACCACCACCACCACCACCACCACCACCACCACCACCACCACCACCCCACGCACCACCACCCCCACACCACCACCACCACTCACCACCACACCCCACCCCACCAGCACCAGCACCAGTCACCAGCACAGCCACCACACCAGCACCAGCACAAGC